TCAGTACCAATATTTACAGTAATGATTTCATCCATTAAGGGTTTAACAAATCTCTCCTGCTTTTGCTCAATTAAGCGTTGCAAAATCGGAGGAATTTCTTCCTCGTCGTTTTCATCAAAGTTTTGAAAGTCTGAGTTAATGCAATAAATCAAGGGCACAGAAAAGTACTCAGAAATCACAGCCACATCATTCTCATTAAGCATATCCAAATCGTCCGATTCTTCTGTTACAACAGACTCAAAAGAGAAAGAAAAAGATGACCTAGACAAGACTGTGACATCCGGGTTATCACCCCCTGGAATACCGGACTCAGACTTAGTCGAGCTGGAACCTGATTCCGACTCACAAGACTGGGTGGAATCAGATTCCAGCTCACTACCTGACCTGGTGCTGCTTGACAAAAATCCCTCCTCGTACTGCCAAATGAGAGAAGGTGCGATAGATGCATCCAAAATGTTTGCTGGTAGGCCCGCATCCGTTTCATTCCCGATTATGGACACCGAGAAGTTATCCCTCAAGCACTTCTGTTCGATCAGAGGATCTGAAAGTAGACAAGCCAGTGCTACCCCCATTTCAATTTCAATGTCCTCAGGCTCCAATTTCTTGCTCTGCTCAGCCTCAGCTAACGGGTCCGTCTGTTCTTCGGCAACGTCATCCCCGGATAACTGTAAGTCGAAGAAGATCTCAAACCCCGGCACGCGCTTCCTCTCCGCGTTCAACCATGGCCCTGGGAAGCCACAAAACGGAAAGTCCTCCCCCTCCCGGACGAAGCGTCCGTTTAGGGTACCCTGGATGGGTCGGTGTATTAACTCAAAAGGCTTCCCTGCCCTCTTCGCTTTGGCTCTCCTAGCCATCTCCTTACCTTTTCTTACCCAATCCTCTTTGGTGGGCGGATAACCCAAGCCAAAGGAGTGTGGGTTGTGTGGCACTTCGGCCAATGCTGCGACGCCCTTCTGGCCACTCTCTTCCCTAATCCCATTCTGGGGATGTGTTGGAGCTTATTCATGAGGTATACTGACTAAGCACTGACATACAACCCCTCATTAGCAGCCATGATGTTCTGAACTACCTGAGCCTCGGCTAAGGTAAAACCCAACATGAACACATCCTCCATACCGTGCTCAATTTCTAAAACTGGCGTAGATACTTCTGGTGGTGGATGGATTGACGAATTTCCAAAAACAATGGCTACTCCCTTTCCATGGGGGTATTTCACCATCTGATACAAGGTAGAAGAAACTGCCTTCACTTGGTGCAACCACGGCCGCCCCAAAAGCATATTAAAAGTTGCAGGCACTTCTAAAACATGGAAGTCTATTTCATGCTGTCCCGATCCAACCTTGGTCTGGATTTTCACTGTTCCCATGACTTCTCGACTTGTGTTGTCATATGCCCGAATCACCTAGGCTGTCAGTGTGAAGTTCGCGATCTTCAAACCGATTGAGTACGCTGTCCTTGCCGGGCAGACGTTGATGGTGGACCCGGTATCAACAAGAACCACCAGTATCCATTTATTTCTACACTCTACAGAGATGTAGAGTGGCTTATTATGGTTCGCACCCTCAGGTGACAGTTCCTTATCAGAGAAAGTCAACATCGGGGTAGCTCCTCCCGGAAAGACTAGTCCAACTAGCTGCTCTGGTGTGGTATCTACGGAGAGTTTAGCCTTGTCCATAGCAGATAGGACAGCCTGTCTGTGCACTCGCGATGCCATAAGCAGTCCCCAAATGGAGATGTCTGCCTGTATCTTTTTCAATTATTTGAGCACGGCCTCGTCTTCAAGTTGCCTCTCTTTCTGTTTCTCAACCTCCTTATCCTTCCCAGACGCCTCTGGCTGATCTAGGTGCGGGGGCTTGAAATACCACCCGCTCCTTGTCATATGATCGACTTCGCCGATGTACTAGGTATCGTCTGGCTGGTTGCTTCCCCAATCCTCATCTGTGTAGGCAAGACATAAGTCGTCGTCCTCTCACCACATTCCATCGGCAGCTGACAGACACCTGTCCGGCTCCGGTATGGCTGTTCTTATATTCGCAGTATCTTCCGTCCACATACTCGCAGTATTCTCTGTCCTCGTACACACAGCACTTTCAGTTCCCGCATGGGCCTTAGCTTTCCTGATTCTCTAATCTCATATATATAAGGTGTTACATTAAAAATGCGGACTGGTCACTGGAGTAAATTTCAATTTTAAAGGCAATAGACTATCATTAATCAGGAGAAAGTAAAATAAAACATAAATGCAGATATATACTTCAAAGTACAAATGATGGTCACATTGACCAATCAAGAATCAGAAAGTGGTAGACAAAAAAACTGAGGCATAAAAAAACTCAGGCCCGACCTTACAAGAGAGAGTACCCAACAAATGAAGCCTGAAGAAATCAAATTAACACTTAAATTCTCATTCATTTCTTATTGATCTGACCTTGTCCATGTGAGTTGGTTTGAAAGATCAATTAATCTTAAAGGCCATAGATTCTCATTTATATTGAGAATTCTCCAAATGCTCCAACCAGATCCAGGCAACATGGAGGAAAAGAACCCTCATGATCAAACAGCCATTCTTCCAGCCCTAGTCACAGGATCCTTTGAGTTATCCATTTTTAGTCCATCTTCTTAACCAACCAGAGCATGACCGTTTCTTAAGCTTTTAACTATAGAGTGTCTATTTGACTCAAGCTCAGCCTTGAGCCTTGAGTTGGTGGATAGACAATTCTTCAAATGAGTAGTGTAGTCAAGAACCAGGAGCAACAAAACCTTTAAGGCAAGGTGTGCCCTAGCAAATGCCTTGGCAATATGTAGTTGGTATATAACTTTTAGCTTAACTTCATTCAACAGTGTGAGAACATGTAAAATAGTACAACTACAGCAGGTTATATATGTCAGGGAGCCATTTCAAAGTTGAAGCCTTGGCATCGAGTGGCCAAAATTAGGCAAATGGCGTCGACCGGTAGTAGTAACTCAAGCAGATGTTCACAGAACAGGAGTAATGAGGTGAGTAGATCGTCACAGAGCAGGAACATAACAAATATCTAAAATTTCTCAAAATTTCCGTGGACTAGGAGACAGGATTCAGAAACCAATAGGAAGAATCACTTTTAGAATATTTTAGCTAAACACACCTGTCTTACCGAGGAGCCAAAAGTACATTAAAAACTTTGCCTAGCCAATGTCCCCTCTCAGATGCAAGATTTTCTACCCAAATCCTTATTGCTTCGGACTACCAAGAAATTAGCGATAAAAGTTGGAACTTGACCGTATAAGATGGAAGTGCCTTTCAAGGAATAACAATTTTTATGCAACAGGCCAAAGACCAAATTGACAAACTAAAAAGGAACTGCTTCAAATTGTAGAGACTAAAGCTAAATGAGAAGCATGGGTCTGAAGAATGTTCCCAAAAAAAATTCTCCATTAATTTTACACTGAAAAAATTATGGAAGCCCTTTCTCAAACTAAAAAAGTAATAGCAAGCATTGCACATTGAAAAGCACCCCACCCATGTTGCCCAAAGTACCTAGAAAAGATTGAGATCGAGACAATTAGCGATATAACTTTAGCAAGTGGTTGTCACTGACTGGAAGAGCTTCTACCAAATCAAGCAAGGAGCAAACAATGCATAAATGACCCTCTCATTTTCAGTATTGCTCATAAGTTGATCTCCTTCTCAAGAAACTACATTTACATTCACCTTTTCATGAGTTGTTAGCCTTGTCTAGCATGTCAAGAACAGATATAACTTGAATGGATCATGAAAAAATATAATACCAAACAAATTGACAATTTTGAGATTGAAACAAGGAAATTGGACCAATAAAAATGCTCAACAGAAGCACTTTTACTGCCTGAATAAATTCAATAAAAAAGGATAGGAAAGAAAGAAATGAAAAAAATAAATAAAATAGAAGAAGAAGAGAGGGAGAGATGGTAATGATGATAGCGCCAAAGATACTCATAAGAGGAAGGTGCACAACCCACCAGACATCCTCACCAATCTCTAATTCTCGAAACATCTTGCACCACCATCCAACAAACTAGGCAAATGGAAGATATTCTTGCAGAAGAATTTCCAACAACCGCGATCATTTTGCACAGTTGTTCAGAAATCTCAAAACCATTTCTTCAAATAATTATTCTAAGCTCACACATTGGACAAGCCTAACCTATATACCCACATAGGAAAGCAGAACAGGTCCTAAAAGAGTGAACGATCCTTCCTCATCTTGCCTCCACCCAGACCATATCTTGAACTTCCTCAATTTCAATTGCAGCAGGAACCAGAGTCTTAAAAGGGAGATAGTAGGTTAGGATGTTAGCAAAGGCTCATAATATTCAGCAATTGTGCCTCCCAAAAGATTTCCGCTCACTGCAATAACCGCTGTCATGCTTTCCAAAAGACACAACTGAATGGTTATCCTATATTACCCCGTATAAATAATCCCAATAGAATTTTTCTCTAAATTCATATGATCACCAGTGACCCCATCAAAATGCAATTAAGGTTCATAATTGTCCACATACTCAACACCTTAATCATTTAGTACAATTGATAACCAAGACTCTGAGGTCGAAACAGAATGCGAGTACAAATCCAAATCAAAACCCAATACAAAGATCAGGATCAAAAGAACATATCATACTCAATAAAGAGTCCCTAAATCTAAAGCCGGAAAGTAAAAATAATAATCACTACCAAAAAAAAAAAATTTACAAGTGCAAATGATCAGCTACAACATTGTCTTTTCAATTTTTTAAACATACCCAAAAAATTGTTTCAGTGCCAGACCCTAACCAAATCAAGAAAACAAAAAACCCAGCAATAAAAATCACCAATCTCAATAAACCACAGAATTGAAGAACTAAAACACACCCAGATAAGGAAAAACAAAATCCAGGCAAAAACAAGCCCAGAATTGAAGAACTAAAACAAACCCATATAAAGATTTGAGAACCCGACCAAGAAAACAAAAACCCAGAAATCAAACAGATCAGAAACCCACCTCATGGAAGCTACAGACAGGAATAGCCACAGGGGGGGTCCTCTTCCCTATAGACCACTCAATATCAACGGAGACATTTGGGACAACAAGCCCATCAGAGACTACAAGATCTTCAGTATGTTCTTCATCAAGGTGAACCAAACGAGACCCAGGAGTTCCTTTACAATACAAAAGCCTGATATCAGAAGTCACATCAAAGCCTCGACCCAGTGCTTGGATTGAGTTACAGAGAGTGGTGAGAAGAGCATCAGAGATTAAACTCTTCCTTGTTGTTGATGATGATTGTTGTTCTTCTTCTTCTTCCATTGATGGATCTTTCATTGGGAAGAGAGAGAAGAAGAGAGATGGGTTTGGTGGGATGTCTGTTTCAGAGTGATGGTATACATTGCACACAAAGGTTGGAGTAGTTTTGATTTGATTTTTTGGGGGTTTGGTTTGGTTTGGTTTGGTGGGGTTGAAGTTGGACTTTGGACTTTGTTGATTATTTGTTGTTCGTAGAAAAGAGAGGATTTTGACTGTAATAATGGCTATGAAACGCGTTGTATTTGTGGATGATTCGGAGTTGACTGGTCTTCGATTCAGATGCTTGAAACTATCCTCTCTGTCGACATGTTCCAACCATGTCTAGAGCCTCTCTAGCCCACCATTGTGCTCGGTTTCGTTGTTTATCTAGCCATGAATCCTCTACTTCAAATTTTTGTGTAGGAGCTTATTATTGAATAGATTTTGGGACAATTAATAATATTTTTTATCAAATATTATTAAAAAAAATTTATTAATTATTAATTTTTAGTGTTAGTTTGAAATTTTATCATAAAAAATAGGACAAATTACAAACACTCCCTCGAGGTTTGGTGAAAATACAGATTCTCCCATGAGGTTTGAGAAATTACATCACACCCCCTAAGATTTATATTTTCATAACAAATTGTCCCTTGAAGTTTTTATTTTTATACAGATTCCCCCATAATTTTTCCTAATTTGTTATGAAAATTTGATCCTCAGGGTGCAATTTATAATTTCTCAAACTTCAGGGAGGAACCTGTATTTTTACCAAACCTTGAGGGAATGTTTGTAATTTGCCCTTATTACCAATTATAAGTTTTAATGATAATTTAAAAAAATCGTCACAAAAAAATATCACTAATAAACTTTTAACAATAGTTTAAAAAATTCGTTAAAAAAGTTACTGCTTGTAAGTTTTACAGACAATTTATAAAAATCGTGATAAAAAAAGTCATTAATTATTAATTTTTAGTGACATATGTAAAAAATATTACAAAAAATTATTTTTAGCGACAATTTTACTAAAACTTATTTTTAATAGAACTTAATGAGAATTACATTCAACTATTAAGCGCTCGTTTGGCCAACATTTTAGGACTAAAAAAGCAAAAAAAAACAAAATAAGTTACATAAGCCAATAAGATAAATACCACTTTTTATCCATAATCATTACACTTTTTTTTTACAAAAGTCAAAAAAGTCCCAAAACAAAAACCAAACGAGACTAAAAAAATCACGCTAAAAAAGTCTCAGGCTAAAAAAGTTGGCTATATTAGCCAATGCCAAACGACCCCTTAGACTTATTGGTGGTTTACTCGTAAATTTTTTCATGATTATGTGAAATAATAATAATTAAATGTCATTTTTTACTTATTTGAAAATTATTTTTAGAGCCATGATAGAGACCCCTTCTAATCACCACCCCACAACCCCCACAGACACGTGGCGGATGGTGATTGGAGGAGCAGGAAAAAAAGAAAAAAGAAAAAGAAAATATAACTAATGAGAGAGAGAGAGAGGGTCAAAGGGGGTGGGGGAAAAGGGGGGCATGAAACATTTTTGTTATTTTTATTAATTTTATAATTATTTTAACATTTTTACTTGTTTGTAAAATGTTTTTTAAACCAAGTAATAAATAATGTTTCAAGATATTTGTTAACATGTGCTTTTTTATTCTATTTTTATTGTACCAAGAGTTTTTATATAGCGATTCCGAATTTACCCTTGTTGTACAGTGATCCGGACATGTGTCTGTGGATGTTGGTAGTTGATTATTATCTTGTTTACATCCTTTTACTTCGTATTTGAGTTATAGGATGTGTTGGGCAGGTTTGTTACAGGTTGGTTGAGTTTAGAAACCAAAACTAGTTGCCCAGATTTTGACCTGTCCGCTCGAGCGGGGGTTTTGGCGCTCGAGCGGGAATTGCACCCATCCAGTATTTTCCCGTGCAGTGTTGGACGCTCGAGCGTGGGATTGATCGCTCGAGCGGGGTTGTGCGAGTGCCGCTCGAGCGGGGAATCTGGAAGCTCGAGCGAAGACCTGGTTTCGTAAAGTTCTGGAAGTGTGTCTCCTCCGTCGAGCGGGATTGTTGACGCTCGAGCGGGAGTCTGTGAGTGACGCTCGAGCGGGGTGTTTGACGCTCGAGCGGGGCGACTGGGTTTTAAGTTCCGTGTTTTGACTTTTCAAATCACTTTTTCACTTTCTCTTCTCTCTCATACTTTTCCAAAAGACACCATTGTTGAGCCTCTCATTCTAGAGACTCTACCTCTCTTCTAGGTTTTGATCTAGTAGGCAGTGATTGCTCATCTTTGGGCCTTTACAAAAAAGTTGTTGATCGTCGAGGGCTACATTTTAATCTGAAAATTTCGGGATTTGGAGCACTGTTGGGTTTTGTCATCTTCTCCTTGGGCTCCGAATTTGAGGTAGGGATATCCTACTCCTCCTTCTATGGATTTTGTCTTTTAAATTTTGGTATTTTGAGAAGTTGGGGTTGGTTTGGTAATTTTGTGAAGTTTGGGGCTTTTGTGTTATTTTACAAAAGTTGGGGTTTTATTTTATAATAAACCTAGATGCATGTTTTGGTAATTATGGAATGGAATAAATGTGAATCATTGATGAAAATGGGACCTAAGGGTTGTAATGTTAATTATGGAAAATGACTAATTACATTGGTTGATTAATTGGGATAATTAATTGTGAGAAATAAGGAAATGAAATGGAATTGTTGAGATTGGGAGTGCATGGGGTTTAAAGGTGTAGTTGAATTGTTTATCACACACGAATTGAAATGTTGATTGAAATATCCATTTGTGCATTTTATTTTCTGTTCAGAAATAACTGCTTAGGCTTATCGGTGGAGGGGATAGTCAGGTCATGTTGTAGACAATGCATGATGATTAGGCAAATCGGAAACTAATCATTGGAATGTGTCATTGAGATTGACGATTGAAAGAATACATTAAATTTATGTATTGTGTGATGATGTGTATAATTGTTGTTTATATGCATTGTGTTGTGTTGGAGGAGATAGGGGATGTACTCCACGGTTTAGGGGAAGATAGGGGATGGACCTCTAAACCGGATGTGTTGGGAGGAGATAGGGGATGAACTCCGTAGATACAGCTTATATGCTTGTCTAGAGAAGTGAAGATAGAGCTTATATGCTTATCTTTGTGATGTGTGGATATAGCTTTTAACATTCCCATGGGATATTGTTGTTATACATATCTGTTGGGAATGTGGATATAGCTTATATGCTTATCTGTGAATGTGGGATATAGTTTTTATACATATCTGTTGAGATGATGATAGAGCTAATATGCTCATCTGTTGAAAAAGGGAAAATGAAAAGTAACTTGGACTCATAAGTCGGATGACATAAAATGTGATTTATGTGGATGTATCAGTGTTGGCCATCTATCAATTGCTAATCTTTTAGTCATTATTCATGGTTGGTTTAGTGTATTTCTATTGGGCTGTGGCTCACCCTATATGGGAATACCATTTTCAGGTACAGGGAGCATGCCACCTCCAAGGACATAGCTTGGGAGGCTAGATGCGAGTTGATTTTTTTTGGTGTTTAGTTTCTTTTGATGTATTACATGTATATTCAAGCCGAGGGCTTAATGTGTAGATGAGTTAGCACTCTTTTGTTGTAACCAAGTGTTAACTTGGAAAGCTGTAAGCCTGTAGGGCATTTTGCTTTTGTTGTTAACATGTAATATTTTTGTAATGAAACTCTGATGAATAGAAGAATGTGGTTATTTCATATGTCAATGAATGTCTTATTTGATGGGTTTAATGTCATTATTTTGAGGGCGTTACATTTTAAACTTGTACATTTTTTTTAGGATAAATTATAAATAATCTTTTAAGATATGCTTAAAATATTAATTACATTACTCCTTGAAATTTCTAATCACAGATTTTTTTTTTGTTTATATTAATTGATCATTAAATCAAACATTCACCAACCCTATCCTTCCCAAAACCCTCTTCGTTCACTCTTACCACTTCTTCGACCGCCACTTCCAACACCACCTAGCCCTTCATTATTTTCCCATATCTCACCCTAACCCTTTTCATCCAAATCCTACAACCACCGCCACATTAGGCCTTACCCCTAACCCCTTCACATTTTTTTCCATTGTCACTACTATTATCATTGCATTACCTAGGGGTGTAAATTAGGCTTGACTCAGCCCACCCAGGCCTCAACTCTGCCCGATCCATGCCGGGCCTCCCGGGCTTCTGTCAAAATTCAGGTCGGGTCAGGCTGACTCATGGGCCAGACAATTTGGCCAAGGCCAAGAGGGTATTTGGGCCTTGGGCGGGCTTAGACCTAGGCCTAAGCTCGGGCTTAAGCCGTGCTTGGACAGGCTTAAACATTTTTTTCTATTTTTTTATCAAAATTTTATTTTTTTCCACTAAAAATGATATTGGACCTTGGGTAGGTTGAGTCTTAGGCCGGCCTTTGAGTGGGCTTTCGATGGGTTGAGCCATAAGCCGGGCCAAGCTTCAAAATGATAGTCCAGGCCTAGGGTCTCCAGCTAGGCTAGGGCCCGGGCCACCCATCTCAGGCTACGAGTAGACTTCGGATCGCCCACGGGCCACAACCGAGATTTACACCCCTAGCGTTACCCAATCACCCTGTCCCCACTTCACCCCATTCTCTTTCCTCCAATCCAGCCACTGCCACGAAACAAATAAAGAGAGAGTATGAGATTTACCCCTCTATTTCATCAACTCTCTCTCATACTTCCATCACTTTCTTTCTTACATTTGTAACCATTAACTACCTTCTGTTAGGGATTGAAACACAAAATGAAAGAGTACACAACAAGTCTGGGAATGACTTACTTCTTATTGAACAATCTAGGCTTATAAATAGCCTTCTACAATGTTAACAGAATGAGAAAAACTAGCTCACAGTTACAACTAATTAACATGATAAGTGCAACTAGAAAAAAATCAAGAAACACTAAACAATTACCCTAAAGACTAGGGCTTATTCAAACCGAATGCTTATCTGAATTCCTAACAGAAACCCAAACTTTCTCTTCATTCCTTTCCTTAAACTAGTTCCCAACTGCAACTAGTTTAATTCAGGAACTTGACAAACTCCCAACTGACTCCGAGACCTCTGAAATGCATCCAATGTGAGGGGCTTTGTCATCATATCTGCCAACTGATCTTGTGTTCCACAATAAACCAACTCAACTGCTCATTCTCATGTGAGATCACGAAGAAAATGGAAGCGCACATCAATGTGCTTGCTTCGACCATGTAACACAGGGTTTTTTGATAGTTTAATTGTGGAACTATTATCACAAAGGATTGTAGTGCACTTACTTTCCTCCAAACTCAGTTTCTCAAGTATCCTCTTCATCCAAACAGCT